AATTAACCAGAGGGAACAAGATAACAACTTAAAATAGAAATCAAATTCATGATCAATAGATTCAATACATGTTAGACATTATCTAACAACATACAAAGCTGATTCATATTCAACAATGAGAATTCTAAGCATTGTCTACGGTTATCAAGCCTATCGATTTCCGGGGCGGTTTTGCAAGAATGTAGTAGAGTGATCAATCAAGGAAAAAAAAAAGGAGAGATTACAAAAACCATACCACAAGATCTACACCATCCTCGTTAAAGTGCCATTGAGAATCAGACTTGATGACAACAAAAGAGACATGAAGCGTATCGCCTTCATAATCAGCCTTGTGAGAGAAACATTCTTCTCGATCAATCACGAATCTAATTCCTAACGTTGCCTGGAAGCTCCATAAGATCCCTAATATTACGATCGTAGCCTTCAAGCTCATCTGCCACAAACATTTTCGAATTATTTCAAAACGCAATTCAATTATTACAGGATTAGCCTCGATTAGAGATTCCACACCAAACCATATTGAATTGATTCAATTTCGATTCCTACGAAGTGATAAATTCGAGATAGAGTGTGACAAGGGAATTTACCTTCCAAATCGGAGAATTGAGGGGATAAAACCAGACGATTGATAGATATAGATCGATGGAAATTCGATCTGGTCGATGGGAGTTTAAAAAAATCGGAGATTGATCGAAGAAGCAGACGGTGAGAGAGAAAGAGCGAGCGAGTTTTTTCACAATCGGACACGAAGAAGCCTGTTTTGACTGAAGGGCAGTTTCGTGATCCGACAAGATCATCAACTATAAACGACATCGCTTCATTCTCCTTTTAGATATTTGGTCAGCGGGCTTACGTGGCTAAATATGATTGGATATAAAATACCTTTAAACCATTTAGATACTGCCACATCAGAAAATACCTTGTTAACGGAGTTTAACTCCATAAAGCAAAACGTTTCATATTTTTTTGTCAAGTGAAAACAAAGTTAATTTTTTTTAATTAAATTAATGTTCAATTTGAAACTGATGTGTCAAAATTTTCTTGATTTGTTTATACTCTATCAAGCTAATTTTCTTTTTATGTAATTGAAATATTAGATTTTAGATTAAATACATATATTTTAAAAAAGGGAAAAATAATTGTTC